CATTGATCTACTTAATATAAGTATAATATAAAAAAAAGAGTGGAGTAGTGACATTAGACATTGAATAGTGTATTTGACTCGTGGACATATACACATTTTTGCAGCATTTAAGGAACATTTAAGTAATGTATGCGGTTGATAAATAAATGGCTCTGAAATGGTTGAAGATTCGTTTCAATATTCACAAAGATAAATTGTTGCTCCTTTGGTACATTAGTTTGGTCAGGGCAATTTAGACGGTCACCTCAAAGACAATAAGAACATGAATGATTGGTAGAAATTATTTCAGCAGTTAAGATTTGAACTGACGAATGGTCATCACCAATTTCATCAAAATATCCTATAGGTTTATGGAATTCGTCACCAACCATGTCTCAAATCGAGAACTATCAACATTATAGTCCAGTTAAAATATATTCAAAATACACTACAAATATAAAAAGTTCCGACTTATTAATTTTTTGCTCGCATTGGTTTGGTGGATGACTTTTCATATTTCATTCATAACTAGGTAATAAAGACGTGTACCAATTTCCGACTCTTTCGAAAAACATTTCAACCTTACTTCTTTTTTACCTATTTCGACTGGACTAATGAGAAACAAGTCACACTCCGCCTCTACACAGTTCGATTCCTTTGAGTCGTTCTTCGAAAAAATGCCTCCAATCGATCAATTAGAAGGTAATCCAATTAAAATTTTCACGCGTTCCGTATCGGTGTCATTGCTATAAAAATGCTGTCTTCATAAAACAATCGAGAGCTGACATTAATATCAAACAGCAGCGCCTACCCGGATGGAAAGACGCATAAACTGAAGCAAATTCCTCATGCTAAATATATCCGTTTCGATTCCGGTTATTACACATTTCTCCGGTTCGGATTCTTGTGCATTGAAATATCTTTATGGGAATACGATGACTTCGGAAAATCAGAAGGACTTTCCCGGATTAATTAGTTACGTTCCGCTTTGATTGTTGACGGATCAGTTGCATGAGTAATACAATTTATTTCAAACAACAATTCAGTTGTTTGAATGTAGTTTTGCAGTATTTTGTCCACATTCAAACATTTATTTTGTTTTAGAATCTACATAGCGAGATAAACTATTACGTTGTTTCAAAAGTTTTGTCCGTTTCGAAGAGTCTACTTTAAACTGTAATATCTCAGAGAATGCTCATTCAATTCATGATGACTTCAAATTTTTTATTTCTAAAACGGAAAAACTAGAGTCTCATCAAAATATTCGAATCTGAATGTTATTTTATTGTTCCTCTTATCCTTTTCAGTTGTCTGCTGTTGTTGCAATTTTTTTCAGAATCGACTAGGGAATTCAATGGACATANGAGTAGTATTCTTGCTCTGCCCGTTGAGGTAACCGAATGATTTCTTCCAGATCAGTTCTTCCTGAAGGTTCCGATCGTAGATTGATGGCTGCAGCAATTTTGTATATGGTCGTAGGGTGTTTTGTGCCTATGGGATTAGGAGACCTCCGTACAGGTGAGTTGAACATCCCAGAAAGATTTTTATGTTCGATTGCAACAATTATCATTGAGAATAGATGACCAAGTATATAAGATTATAGTTTTCAATAGCTAATCAAAAATAGCATTGATCTACTTTGAATTAATCTACGAGTTTGTTGATTTTTCTGAGACCACTTGTTCTAAAAGTTTTGAATATTGTCTTCAATTTGTAAGTTCAAGAAAACGTATAGTTCACAACAGTGAACTATGCTTTTTCTTGTGGAGATTCATTCTGGTCATTTTCGGACCTCCAAGCGGAATCTTGTGGAACACCCAACTCAAAGTAGGTGTGACGTTTGTAAATAGATCAACTGCAATATGTGTATGAGGGAGTAGTTGATGACGTTAGTTTGGACTAGAGAAAAAATAAATACGGTGGCATTCTAAAATGTCACTTGGCCGCATCTTCATTATTAATGATCCGCAGATGAGATGATCGGAAATATGAATACTGGGTGCGTTAAAATCGGATGTGAATATTTTTACATCAAGGCTTACAAGTCACATTTTTGTTACTAATAGTCAAATTGTAACATACAGTAGATGAAAGCGGAGGGAATGCCAATGGGCATATCACCTGGGGGTGATGAAAAATGTTGGGGGCGTCAAGGAGGTGCATGGAAGGATGTTAAATGAAGAAAAACTTCGTCAGACATAGGAAAAATATCAAAAGATATGTGTATGTATGAGGTAGAAGGTAATGACGTCAGTGTTGACTAGGAAAAAACAAATATGACGGCATGCCAGTAGAGCACCTATGCCGGTTTTATTACATCGGAAATTCAACTAACAGAAGCAATGAAGTACGTAGAGCTCTGAACAGCCTACGTAGAAATAACGCCATGGAGGTATACGGGGTGTGCAGCGTTAAAGAAAAAAAAACAGGGCGTCCAGCGTTAAAGAAAAAAAACATGGCTATCATTGTGATATACAAAGTGTTTGCAGCGTTAAAGAAAAAACATGGCGTCAAGCGTTGAAGGAAAAAACATAGCTGACATCGAAGTATACAGGGTGTGCAGCGTTTAAGGAAAAAAACATGGCGTCCAGCATTTAAGAAAAAAGAGATTTCTATTACACCGAAAATTCAACTAACAGAAGCAAATGGTTACGACAATTATTGCCCTAACGATGAAACGATAACGAATAAACGCACGCAAAACGGTCGAAAACGCACACAAAACGATCGAAAACGCACGAAAAACGGTCAAAAACGGTCGAAAACGCACGGAAAATGGTCGAAAACGCACGGAAAACGGTCGAAAACGCACGAAAAATGGTCGAAATGTACCGTTTCGCGTGCGAAACGGAATCGTTCCATCGTCAATGTCGTAACCGTTTGCTTCTGTTAGTTGAATTTCCGGTGTAATATAAATCTATTTTTTCTTTAATGCTGGACGCCATGTTTTTTTTCCTTAAACGCTGCACACCCTGTATACTTTGATGTCAGCCATGTTTTTTTTCTTCAACGCTGGACGCCATGTTTTTTTCCTTAAACGTTGCACACCCTGTATACTTTTCAAAGTCCACACCCAATTAAAAAAAAAATTTAAGTTTTGATGTAAAAATATTCACATTCGATATAATCGCATCCATTATTCAGATTTACAATATTATCTCGTTTACAGATAATTTTTAACGAAGATGCGGTTGAGTGCCCTTTTAGCATGCCGCCATATCTGTTTTTTCTCTAGTTCACAATAACGTCATTCCTTTTTCCTCATATACACATACATATTGCAGTTAGTCTCACTTTTACAAACCTCAAACCTACCTTGAGTTGTGTATTCCACAAGGTTACGCTCAGAGGTCCGAAAATCACCAGAATGAACCTTGATAAAAAAAAAACATGTGATTTTGAGGCCGAAGCGGCATAGAACCTCTACTTACGACTTCAATATATTTTTTTACAGTCACTCGCTTTTTTCATCTGTCAACTTCTAAATCATAGTATTACTTTTTAGTATCAATTTTCACTCCCGATGATGCTCAGTATGATGTTAAAAGAGATTGATTTTCACTATCCAAGTTGACACATTATGAGTTCAGTGTTTCAAAATGAAATTGAAATTTGGTATTTTTTTTGAATGGTTCAGAAAAACAAGTAGAAATATATTTTAAAGACATAAACCTCCATACTAATAGCCACCTATGAATGTAAGAGATTTATAGAAACATTTCGTATTGATAATGTTTATAAAAAGTTTCAAAACAAACCTTACAATTTCATTCATGAATGACTGCATTTTTCATTTCGGTTCTAAAAACATTTCTGGAAAACCGTTTCTCAAAATATTTCTGTAACATTCAGGTAATCAAAGAATCCATGCATTATATATTCTTTTCCACTCATAAAAATCTATGAAAGTCAGAGCAGATCTTCGAGTAGGTCTTGGCAGAGACTCTTCTTGTCCAATTTAACTTATCAATTATTCAATATTTCCTGTACACTATTGCCATTGTGTACTTTCCATCCACTATGCTTAAAACCATAATATTATTTTTATTCGCTACTGGCACATCTTCCAACAGCTTGAACAAATTGTTAAAAAAAAATGTTTCACAGAAAATGAGAACAAATTTGTCTACTCATTGCTCTCAATAGTTTTTTCTTTTGGAGTCAGTTTTCTACAGCACAATAATCCGAATTATGAAAATTAGTGATATTTAATTTGTCACATTTGAATTCAAATGTTCACAGACAAGATGATTTGGGTCCACAATCTCGTTCTCATTATATTTCACTAGTTAATGAATGACTCTATACACATAATGAGCGAAATCACTCAAAGTACGAACGTTAGAAAAACATCAAAAATACAAAAAAATATTGCAGATAGAAACGTTTTTGAAGTTCTTCCAACAGGGAACTGAAACCCAATAAAATTTCACCCTTTGCATGCAAGATTTTAAATCGAAAAACATTCTTTAAACAAGTTTTTATATTATTATCAATACCTAACCTTTATTTTTTGTTACGTATAATCTTGTTCATCAGAGTATTCAATTAGTAATCAATAGACTCAAGAAGTATGTAACTTCAAATATCCTATCATTATTTTTCAATTCCTCTGAATCAATTAATTCACTGTTTAGTTTCTCAAATATTATTCTGAAAAGAAACAGCATTTTCTATGAATTTCACTAGTTCGGACTTCCATTGTTTACTATATAAAATGATTTGAAATCCCTGAAACAACTAAAAAAGAAGAATTAAAAATGAATAGCTGAAAATAACAATTATATTAAGCAACAATAAA